CATTTAAGGGTGGATGTACTGTTGACGGTTACCATAGCAACACACCTCCAGAAAGCACCAAAGCTCTCAGGATGTGGAAGCCATCTTTACTCCAGGTTACTGGACGGTTAAACCTGCAGAGTCCGATTTTTGTTGGAAATCAGAAAACTCGGGGGATTGGGTCGCGGAGGCAGAGGAGCGTGAGCTCGGCCTCGGATCGGCTCTTCGTTTACGTTTAGTCACGCTAGTGGCTCCTGTTACCATAGCAACCACGACTGTACAGACACAGTTAGGTTATTCTGATGATCTTCTATAGTTTAAACATCAGATTTATGCTGATGAACGTCTTCATATGCAAGTAAATTTATGCTGATGAACGTCTTCATATGCAAGTAAAAAGAGATCTCGTCGCCCACCTGTCAATGCTCGACTTGGTGTCGGCGATCTTGTTCAGGCTGGACACCTTGAATCCGTAGGCGTTCCCCCTCTGACCTTTATTCATGAAGTTCCCAAAGGCCAACACCACCTCCAGGACCTGAGTCAGGCGCTTGCTCCGGACCACCTCCACGGACGCATTCAGGATGGCTGGAGGGAAACGGAGACACAGCAATCAGCCGGGGAGAACATTCCACAAACGTGGATTACACAACCAACTGGAATTAAGAGTTTCCCTATTCCGCTCCGACCTCTCTCAAACCCCGCTGGGACGCAGAAGCATCCCTCATGATGAGTGATCAAGAATCTCCACAACAGCTCGGAGGGGAAACGCGTCGCTTTCTTCCACTCATCAATTAAGCAGCGAAGGAGAAGGAATATTCCAAACATGTCCCGATGCTTCCCCGGAGATGAACTGTCTGGCGAAGGGCGGGTGCTTCCCCGTCTCACTGTGAAAATCATTAACCACCTCCAGAAAGTTGTTGCTGCAGGTTTTTGCTGCTGCGACGTGGGATCATGGGAACCAATCCTCTGGCTCTGCTGCTTCATAAATGCCTCTACTGATCACTCTGGGTGGTCCACAGATTCATCCTCTGGAATACGCGACGAAGCAACAGGGGCAATAAAACGGGATGGGGTTTTACTACGAGCAGCGATGAGCAGAGCGGTCAGAAGATTGAGGGGGTTTCTTTTCCCCTGCTGGCGCGGAGCAGAACGTACGTCAGACTATATTAGTCTGACCCCCAGACTAGAAGGAGTCGACAAGAACATTCTGCAGCTCGTCCAGAAACCAAATGTCAGTCAGCGCACGCTGTGAGTAAAAAAAAAAAAAAAAAGCAGCCGGCATAAAATAGTGTCATCAAAGCCCAGAGAGGCTTTCAGGCCAGCGGTGAAGATGCTTTCAAGTCACCCTGGCTCTGCTGCAGCTCAGTCACGACACACGGTGTTTGTGCACGCACATGTGGAAGGCGTCCTCCTGCAGCTCTGGAGTGAGATTAGCAACACGAGCCAGCTTTCCAAAACAGCCTCCCTGGAAACCTGGACGCGCGCTCGCGTGCACGGAAACGTGCATTTACAATTAGTCTGGTCCTAAAAGAAGGTTCTAGAATTAATCGTTGTCCCGCTTTGGTTGGATTTTTAATAGTTTATTCTAGAAGTTTCATTCCTCCATGATCTAAAGTGCTTTATCCTCACGAGGGCCAGCTGTCGCCAGGCGAGAGGTGAGGTGGGGACACCACGGACAGCAACATGATGAGAAATCTGGGGACTGAAACTTACGTTTTGTTGCCAAATTTCTCAATATTAACACTTGTTCTGTCCTGCAGCATGAACACTGGTCGATGGATAACTTACTCATTTTAATACCAATCTGCCTGTCGATCTCCCGATCCCTCCTACCCTCACTCGTGAACAAGACCCTGAGATACTTAAACTCCTCCACTTGAGGTAGGACCTCATCCCGACCCGGAGTTGGCAAGCCACCCTTTTCTGGTCGAGAAAAAAGGGTGGCTTGCCAACTCCGGGTCGGGGGAGAGGTCCTACCTCAAGTGGAGGAGTTTAAGTATCTCAGGGTCTTGTTCACGAGTGAGGGTAGGAGGGATCGGGAGATCGACAGGCGGATTGGTTCGGCGTCTGCAGTGATGCGGACGCTGAGCCGATCTGTCGTGGTGAAGAGGGAGCTGAGCCAGAAAGCCAGGCTCTCGATTTACCGGTCGGTCTACGTCCCAATCCTCACCTATGGTCATGAGCTTTGGGTAATGACCGAAAGAACGAGATCGCGGATACAAGCGGCCGAAATGAGTTTCCTCCGTAGGGTGGCCGGGCTCAGCCTTAGAGATAGGGTGAGGAGCTCGGACATTCGGGAGGGACTCGGAGTAGAATTGCTGCTCCTCCGGATCGAAAGGAGTCAGTTGAGGTGGTTTGGGCATCTGGTCAGGATGCCTCCTGGACGCCTCCCCGGGGAGGTGTTTCGGGCATGTCCTGCCGGCAGGAGGCCCCCGGGTCGACCCAGGACACGTTGGAGAGGTTACATCTCCAATCTGGTCCGGGAACGCCTTGGGGTCCTGCCGGAGGAGCTGGTGGAGGTGGCCGGGGAGAGGACGGTCTGGAGCTCCCTAGTTGGGATGCTGCCCCCGCGACCCGGACCCGGATAAGCGGAGGAAGACGACGATTTTTAATACGTCACCATCAGACCACTGACTTTTTGAGTAATGAAAACAGTTAAGAGAAACTGTTTTCTCTAAAATACAAATTCTCCATATAGGAGGAACGATGTTTGTTACTTTGATTTGGAAGCAAAATAATCCCAAAAATCCAGAAGAGGTTATTAAATCCTATTGATTTCTATATCCAGTCAGAAATAGTCAGATCTGTTTAAAAACTACCTAAAAGTTCAGTTTGCTTCAGCAAAAACGTTAAAATTCACCCAACAGAAGGTTTTTGGCACATTTAAATTAAATAATAAAATCAAATATTAAATGCAAGATGATTAAATTCTGGATTTCTGACGTTTTTGATCCGTTCTGCACAGCCGTGAAGCAAAAGGCTCGGTATTCCCCCTTCAGTTAACAACCAGAGAGCGCCGGTGTCGGTACAGTATCTGCTCGGGTGCAAGATCGGCTCGGGGTCCTTCGACTGCCGATGACGTCAAAGTACGGCAAACCCACTCGGACAAAATACACTACACGTCTATACTGTTGGAAAGAATTTAGCAGTTTCGTTATTAAAATAATGTTTCTTAAGACGTAAGTTTGTGTTTATAATGGTATTTGTAAAATAAAACACTATATTTTATTCATAATGTTGAACTCCTCTTTGAGCACATCCCTTGAAGAATCATAGGTATTAGCAACACCTGTGAAATTGTATTTGCAGGAAAGAAGTGTGTCCCGTTTATTGAAGTATTTTGTGTTTAGAGTTTTTGACGTCTTGTCCATGCGTAGTTCAGTTACGCTCATAGCTGCTAGCCAAAACTCTGGAGTTAAAGGTTTTCTGGCTTTACTAAAATACCTGTCTGTACTTATTTGATTGATGGTAGTTTTACTTTCTATTAGACTCCAAATGTAATCATTTGGCACGTTTCTAATTCATAATTTGTAATAATGTAATCAGCGATATTAGCATTAGCATTCCTAAGGGTTTATCCATGTATATTAGCATTGCGCTAACCACTCGCTGCCAAATTGCAGCCTTTGAGATTAGAAAATCTCCTTTTGTCACATCGCAATTTAATTGCACATGCAGTTAATCGTTCAGCCCTAATATACATGCAGCTCTATGCTAAAAGTGTATTTTCAAAGAGGTAATGATGGATTTCTTTGTAAAAGTTGTCCATCTTTCCAATAGAAAGATTTGCCTGGACCAACGTAACGTGATAACAACGTAACGTGATTACGTAATTCCGTCAGGTTCATGTTCAGCCAATCAACTACTTAGACGTCATCGGCAGTCGACGGACCCCGAGCCGATCTTGCACCCGAGCAGATCCTGTACCGACACCGGCTCTTTCATGTTTGTCCTTACCTTCAACCTTGGGCTTGGTTTCAGCTAAACGCTCTGCAAACTTCTTCTTAAAGAACAGAGCCTGCAGTCTCTGCTGGTAGTGGTCGATCCTAGCAGGAGAACAAAGGAGAGGGAGGAGGTGAGCTGCGTTTGTCTGTAGGGGAGCGCAGCTTCAAAGAGAAAAGTCAACCAGTGTGTGAAACTCCCTTCTCACTTTACACGCTTCACCTTCATCTCACGAGCTCTGGTCTAAAGAGGAGGCGACAGGAACGGGACGGGGGTTAAAGGTCAAGAGGGATGACGGTGATCAGGAATATGGTTCATCTGATAATCCAGCAGAAACAGGACGTGAGAGACTCCAGAGCCTTCTGGGTAACCAGATCGGTGTGTTTGCTCTCGGAGATCAGAAACGCAGGTAAAGCACGCCAGGACGAGTCGTGTCCAACACCTGGGGCTCATCCTGCAAAACCACATCTGCGGCTTTGGATTTACAGAAACGCCTTTTTACACATCAGTGAATAACTTTTGGACACATTTTCTTCACTAGTTTCATAAAAGATGCGCCGAGAGCATAAAGGAAGAGTAGAAACTTCTTCAGTTAACAATTACTGATGTTGAACAGGAGGAGACCCTTCAGGGCCTCTGCGCAGGAACGCTACCGCGCTACCGGCAGCAGGGGGAGCCAGAGGAAGCAGGTTTCTGACGCTTTCCCTCCTGTGTCACTGACAGCTTTTACAGAAAGATGCTTTAAGGACCGACTGAACTAGAAATGCTGAGTAAAGCACAGAAAGGCCTGAAGCCGCAGCCAGCACTCGGAGCCGAGTGCTCCTCGCCTACCTGCTCATTTCAAAGAGGAAGCGGTCCGCCCGCGCCATCCTCTCCAGCTCGTGTTTGTGCTCCTCCAAAAGGTCAATGTCACTTTTCTCTGGGATGAACTTCAGCAGCTGCAACGACGTAAAGACATTTTCATTCAGAGAACCTCTTCCTGGTGACTTCACCAGATTTATTTTAATTACGAACGTCCCTCTAAACGTACCTGCTCCAGCATATCCTTAGCCAGCTCCTCTCGCTCATCCATCTCTAATATCGCCCTTTTAATCTCTTCATTTGTCATTTTTAACCTGAGAAGTAAAAAAAGGAACGTCTTTAATCCAAATTCAATGAAAACAACAGCCTGTCTGTCGCTGATGCTCGGAATACCAGTCTGGACCAGTGAAAGCTCTGCCAGCTGTTTCCTGCCCATCTGATCGCTGTGATGCGTTTGGATCAATAACAGCATTGTTGGTCGGAGCATCAAAGCTTTATTGAGCATCTGCTGACCCCGTTTGGGTCAGGGTCACTCGCTGTTGACACGGGAGGGTTCAGGGAGCGTGCCGCCGCTTTGTCTGGCACACAAAAGGACTCCGGAAGGCTGCTTATCGATCTGTGGAGCGGGGTCAGCATTCAGGCCCTCTGGGGCTCAGGGCCGGCGTTGTGAGGAGATTTGAGCGGTGAACATATCGCAGAGTGGATTTAAATGACGACAATTGATCTCAGCTCGGATGCAATATATAAATGTTAGCCTGGATGCTCACAGGACTTGTTTAGTGACAAACTCGATTATATCACCTTAAATCTGAAGAACAACATCATTACGAATCCTTTTCATTACAGACAACATGAAGGGAACACATTTGATGATTTATTCAGACTTTTTAACGTCTGTTTTTAAAGAAAGTCATCGCTTTGTAATGTTTTAAGGGTTGAAAATAAAATTATTTACATTTTTGGGGATTTTTTGGGACCAATTCCTTCTGCAGACCCGTTTTAAAGTGTCCAGTAATTCAGGTTTACCATCACATTTTCAGTTCCTACACAAATCTTGCCCTAAAATGGGATTTTGCATTGTTTCTTGAAAAAATGCACACATGTTCTTTAAATGTGTTTTCAAAACCCGAGTACGATTCAGATCAGCTCAACATTTTGTTCTCACATATTTGTCGACACACTGGAATCCTCCGACCCTTTTCTTGCTGAAATCCTGACAAAACCAGATTTCTGAGCCATTTTACCTCCATATCAGACCTAAACTACGCGTCTGCCTGCATGCTTGCTTGTGCACCGCAGGGGCGCCTCCAGAAAATTTTGACAGGGGTGGCCAGATGGGGCCAAACAAATTTTTGGGGTGGCACACCAAATTGAACCTTGTAACGCTGGGAGACTTTAGCCTGTGGCGACGTGCTGCATTGCTCCTTTATTCATTTTTATTAAAAAAGCAGTAAGTATCCAAAAGATTTTACTTAAATTTTAAACACAAACATTTCAGTCAGTTAAAATGTTATTCCAAATTTTATTTACAATTTTTTTTAGGTAAACTCACCTGTTGCTGCGTTCACAACTAAACTATGGAGATAAAAACTTATGTATTTATTTTTTATTCTGATTATTTCTTTACTTATTGTATTATTTTATTTTGTTTTACAATTATGTCTTGAATAAACAAGATCAATATAGGCTTTTACTGAACATTAATATGATTTTTTAAAACTGACTTTTCCTGGGGGGGCCATGGCCACCCCTGGCCACCCTTTGAGGGCGCCCTTGGTGCACCGAGGGTCTGAAAGGCAGGAATAAAACTGGATCAACTACTTTAATAGAATTAGCTTAAAACAAGATAAATTTGGGAATTATCTTAATTGAATTTTTAATCGATCACACATTTCCTTCCGTGTTTCAGCGCGAGTGACCTCTCCTGTTAGGAGCTCTTACTTTGAAAGAAGGATGACACAGTTCTGTGCACGTCTGCCATCGATAACCGACAGCTCTTTGACCTTCCGCGTGCTCACGTAAATGTCGTCCATAGAGCCCGTCTCTTTCTGCAGCGAGGAAAAAACGGAAAATCAAACAATTTTATACAATTACCCAATATAGGATCATTCAAGTGCGTCTCATCTCACACAGACCAATGCTAGAGTGGAAACATTTAATTTTTTCAGCAGTCTAACACAAAAAGACTCACTTTTTTTAGATTCAACAAAGTCATAATATCTAATAATAAAGCTGAAAACAATCCAAGTCTGCGGCTGCACCAACTTAATCATCCACTAGTTTCAGATGAAAATGATGCGTTTCCGTAGTTCCTGTCTGCAAATATTAAGCATCTAAAGGTCCCAGAAGTCCTGAGCAGCTCTTTGATGACTCTGCTGTAAACACGATCCACGGAGACCCGTAAACTTCTCAGCGGCTGTCTGACTTAAAAAAAACTCAAACAGAGCTTTTTGTTCGACTCACAAACGAGATTTAAAAGCCTGAAAGTCCAGAACACGAGCCCGAGACGAGCGTTTGGGGCGGCATGTTAAACACATTCTATTTATGGCCCGGCCTGGTTTCCTGCTCACCAGAAAACTTTCTTTTCTGAGGCTGCTGGGCATGACATACGCGAAACAGATGTGGATTGTAAAGAGAGTGTCGTTTTTCCACGTCCGTGCTGACCCGAGGTGTTTGGCAGCCGGCTGAGGTTGGCAGCGGGTTAGAGGGACAACTCCCATCCACCACAGCCCTCTGCTGCTAACTTTAATGGTCTGTGGGAATCACTGGTGTAACACC